CTTACATAAATTTAGTAAAATCGCTTCCTGGACGTTTGCAGAAGGTAAAAGATGCCAAAGGAGGGTTTATTTTTTGTTAATTTTTTTCTTATTCTTGAAAGTTTCTGAAATTATTTTAATTTTCTTACAAATAATATATTGTCAAAATACTTTTGTCCTCTTAAATTTATGAAGTTTTATTTTTTTAAACTTTAATATGGAATTCAATAACTTTGTTATTTTATTACCATAACACACTATTGTTATACATATATTTTTTTTATATATTTTGGATAAATAAATTATAGTTAATCACACAAAATATACGATTTTTTAATGTCAAAATACTTATGTCCACCATTGTATATTATATATAATATAATAAATGAATATAATACATATATAATAAGTATATATTATTTATTATATATTGTTTTTTTTTTTTGCTTTTTCTTTTCTTTAAAGAAACAATAGCCCTTGAAAGTAATATTATAGGATAATGGTATTTGATCTATTCTCGTAATTCTTTGGACTTGAGATGTGAATGATGCCTTTTCCATTTCGATATCATTTTCTTGAGGAGAATACTATTTTCATTTTTTTGATAGTAAAGTTTTACAATGACGAATGTTATTACTGCAGTCCTCTTCTAGTAAAGAATAGGGCCTCAAGAATCACTGTAAATCTCACTCTACTGTTGGCTTCTCTGCATATTATGTTTCAAAAATAACCCATCCCATTTAATTCGCCTTGAATACATGCGAATTGGCCATAACTTTTAAAAAATCCGCCGCAAGCACTATTTTATAAAGATAAAATTTTATTATTTGCATTCAAATTGTACGCACACACATTACTTACAATTTTGCATAACTATATTCAATGCACCAACAAAGAAATAATGCGTACACATTCTCTTAAAACAAAAAAAAAGAAGAAATTGTATGGATTTCTTCTTCAAATTGTCTGAAAACATTTCACATGTACCGGTGTAGTTTTTGAAAAATTCTGCACAAATGTTGTCAATATCGGGTGATTTAAACTTTAAAATTTTTCAAATCTTTAACTGTCGCAACAACTTTAGTTCTGGATGGTAGTGACATATCAATACTGTTGAGACAGTTAGACATATCAGCAAAGCGCAGTTCATCGTCATCACTAGAGTTTCCCGGATTATTCAAGTCTTCTCTAAAGTACTCAGCCCAGTGCTCCATTTGTTCTCTTTCGTTTGTCAACAGCGTGCCTTGCTTATTTCTGACTGACTTTCTGCTGCTGATTTCTCTGCCCGACAGAGTGCGAGCAATCTCATACAGGCTTTTTGTTTTGCATATAGCTACAGCGTATTCTGGCTGTATTCTGTTTTTGGCCAGCTCGAAAACCTCATTTCCTTCATAGATTTTTGTCAGATTTTCTACAAATCTATTAACGACGCTTGATTCTTCTTCGTTTTTGTTCATGCGGAAGAATTTCGAAATAATTGTTTTTTCATAAAGTGCAACATACCCTTCATTTTCAGTTTTCTGGTATCGAGCTTCATATTTCTTTTGGCGTTATTACTTGCAATGGCAACAATCTTTAAGCGCAGTTTAGCTAAAACTAAATTGTGATCACTCTCAATGTCTGCGCGTCTTTTTGATCAGGACTCTAAAAGTGATAACTTCCATTTGCTGTTAATTAACACATGATCAATTAGATTCAATGTTCTGTGGTCGAGTGAAGCCCAAGTAATTTTATGCGAGTTCTCCAATAACCATATTCTTATTACAGCATAATTCTGTGAGTCTTCAGCCGTTATCGTTTTGCACCTATTCCATGTTTGACTTCACTTTAGCATTCATATCGCCGAGAACAATAATTATCTCCTCTTCGGCTATGGGCATTTATGCAACTACTTAGTTGATCATAAAACTCGTCTTTGACGTTGTCGGATCAAACTTCAGTAGGTACATAGCAGTTTACAATAACTATTTTATTTTATAATACTATCAATCTTTCATTTATAGGCATCCATTCAATGATACCCTTTGATATCTTAGTTATCATGAGAAAAGCGACCCCTCTATTTCGTTCCGAATCAGTAGGTTTACCAGAATATATGAAGACTGTATTGATCTCTAATTTCTCCATAGCGGTTTCAACGGCATTCTTGTATTGCCATTATATCAATTTTGTAAGTATTAAACTTTCTTTACGTATTTGCTCTAATTTCCCTGCTTCATTTAATGTCCGCACATTCCAAGTTGCAAGATAAATAGTATCTTTCATGCCGATGAGTTGTCTTCGTCTTGTATGCATAGACTATTAAGAGTTTTGATTTAGAATAAATTGGTTTCGGTTTCGTTTATCGACAGAATATTTTGACTTGAATTTAACACCTCCCAATCCAATGTGCTTGCTGCTAGTAAAGCAGAATGATTAACCGGTGACCGGTTACCTCTTGGAAACAGAATTCCTTTCCGGTTTGAATTCATGTCTGAGTAGTCCACACTCACCTAGTGACAGTTTAGCTCCCAAAAAGACACTAGGGTTTTATAATCATTAGGTCGCGCTTAGTTACCGTGGTCTCTCTCGACTGTATTAGCATGAATGGCCCTACCGGTACGTACGCTACTACCTTGAAAGAATATTATTACTGAAATTAAAGTAGTTAAAAGACCAATAATATAAAAAATTTTTTATGGTTTTAAGTTTCCAGTGGTTTTTTGTGTATTTGTTATTTTTTATATTTAAATCTTTCATCAATTCCAATAAGAGTACTTGTTCTGTATGATCATAATTTATATTTGATTTCAAGACTGCGGGTAGAATTTGCAATGCGGATATTTACAAATGTGGGTACAAATGGTTTTCTTATCCATTTTTATTGTTATATTGTACTGTTTCATTATAGTTGTTTAAAAGTAATAAATCGGTTTGAATTTTGTCCATATAAACTTCTGTACAATTAGTAGTTTGGTTATTTAACAATAATAGGAATTATATTTTTATCATTACATACATATTTATAAATTGCTGTATTGCTTGCGTCTGTCTTTTAATCCAAGTATTTCATTTTTACATTTTAATTTTTTTTTAAATAAATTTTTATTACAGTATTTATTTTATATACTTGTATTAAAAGTAAAACTTCACAAATTTCTATTTAAGTTGAGCCTTGGCAACATTGATTGTTGTCAGGTCTCATCTAACGCTTCCATAGCCTTTTGGTCGAAAGGACGTCATTTGTATTATTTACAGTGATTTGTAAAATAAGTGTTTGCGAAAAAATGGAATTAACGCGAGAAAATTTTCGTGCGATAATTTATTACTACTTTCGACGTGGATTGCAAGTATTAAGACAAGAGTGCATCGATCAGCTTATTTCCACATTTGTGGCCGCGATACTAACGAAATTTGTGAAAGGCGTCCAAAATCAGTTGCTGTGCAAAAACTGATAATATAAGATCATCATATGACATACTGCGAGATTAACGGCATTAGTATCATCAGCATATATAAAATATTGCACGATCATTTAGCCGTGAGAAAGGTTTGTTCTCATTGGATTCCCCCATCATTTGACAAAGTCTTAATAAGATACTCGTGTCGATTGGTGCACACAAATGCTTAAGAAGTACAATGGCGCTGCTTCAAAAGATGTATAAAAGATTGTAACTGATGACGAATCATGACTGTATGCGTATAAGCTGGATATAATGGCAGTCGACTGTATAGAAGTTTCAAGATGAACCAAATCCATCAAAAGTTGTTCGCGTTTGAAGCACTTCGAAACAAATGGACGCTTGTTTTTTCGGGAAAATTGGTTATATGATAACTATACTCGTACCATTACAGGAATGTGAAATGGTCAATTCCGAATGATATACAACCATTGTTTTACTGAAAGTCTTTACTGAAGTACGGAAAATAAACAAGCGCCGTGGACCATTCTCCATCAAGACAGTGCGAGTGCCCATATATCTCGTCTAAAAACCGGCTATTTGAACATTCAAAAAATCGAATTCATGGTTCATCCGCCCTAAAGTCCTGAAAGGTCTTCTTCCTGTTCCCAAACGTCAAGAATAAATTGCATACACAATACTTGATCATTTCTAACTTAATTTTTATTAAGTTAGCTTTATTTACAATAATTTGAGTATTGTTATTATTCAAAGCCTTATTAATTTTTTCGCTCATTATTTGTAAATCAGTATTATCAGAATTTCCTATAATCCGTTTTCAAGCCGATCATATAATATATAAAAACTTTCGTATTAACCATAGGCCGAAACCTTTTAGAGGGTTTCAAATCTCTAAAATTTCATTTACTAAAAATGGGTATAAATAATTTTTGTTGATTATAGTGTTTGTATTCGATTAAGTGTATAAAACATAATTTTAAAACCTACATAACATATTTTATTTTTATCATAAAAAATTGTTGAAAAGTAGCATTTTTTGAGCTTACTTACTATAATCATTATAACATTGTTTGCGAAAGAACAATGGCATAAATTTCCTTCTAAAAATAAAATTTCTTTTCCAAAAAGCTTAAAAATCGTGCACACAGTTTTTTTACAATTATTTTTTTTAGAAATGGTCCATTTTTTATCAAAAATCAAATTATTTGAAAAAAAAACTACATATTCACAACGCCAAATGCGGAGTAAACTCAAGGCAGAGGTGATAGTGCATAATAGCGAATAAGTGAAGTAAATATAAACTGAATAGAAAAAGCGGCTTTCTTATCTACAAAAATTAATTTAAAAAAGCAAACGAAAACCTTAAAAGACAATAATAAATTGCCAATAAATTTTCAATACGTCCAACACTTTATGTCTTTGTGGCGTGCATATCTTATAATAAACGTCGAGCACTTAGATACGCTTCAAACATACACATTATTTAGATTAAGATTTTAAAATATATTTTTAGGTTGACGTAAATTTGGTATGTATTTTTTAGTTTTTATTCTTTTATATTTTATTTTAAAATAAAAAAATACATTTAGAAAAACGTTATTAAATATATTTAATTTTAAGAGATTATTAAACTCGCTCGTGGTGAAGGCGATTCTCAAATTTCTAAAATTACACTTTGCGAACAGGATACTTTCGAAATGCAAGTTCGGGCAGCAAACATTGGTAGGTGTTTCATAAAAATGACTACTTTTTATTATTTATTTCCTGTTTTATATTCAAATTAGTTCGCGCTGGAGAATCACTAATGAAATTGGTATCTGACATCAAACAATATTTAATACTCAACGATTTTCATTCGGTTAATGAAGCTATAATGAGTAATTCGCACCTCTTTCGTACTACACAAATTGAATGCGATAAGAAATTAATGAAACTTCGTGACGAAATGGCGATGGATTTATATGACTTAGAAGAAGAATATTATACAAGTATATTTAAATGATATTAGAATTAGTAATAAAATAATTTAAATAATATATTTTAAAAATAAACTTATATAAGTTTTACATCAATATTGAATTTTTTTAACACTTATTTTGTTTTATTTTAAATTAATATGAAATAATAACGTTAAATAGTAATGAATAATAGATGTATTCGGCAGCTCCGAAATATGGCAAAAAAATAAGCTGTTCGCTTAAAGTACGCAAAACAACACTACTTTCTCTATCTAAAGGACTAGTTATGAACTGGCCAAAAATTTTAAATACTGCAGAAAAAAAAGTTACCAAAGCGTTAAGCGATCTATTATGAACCTTTATTGAAAATTTCAATGAATATTTCAGTTGTCTGTCAAAGCTTGTAAACAAAATTTAAAAGTTTCACAAATTTGAAATTATGAAATGAAATATTTTAAAAATATGCAGAATTGGAAAATAAATATTTTTAAAATTACAAAAAAAAACTTTTAGGAGTATATGATAAGTACATAACTAAAAAGAGCTTTAAATTTTTTAATTTATTAGTTGCAATACAATTATTAGTTGGTATTAAGTTTTTAGTTGGCAATAAGCTTAAGAGATGCTTAAAAGTTTATTACTTGCTAATAAATTTATTAGTTTTTATTAATAAATATGCAAAAAAGAGTTTACTTGCATTATGTTTAAATATGCAACCTTTGCGTCTTAAGAAAGCATAACATTTGACAGATTGCAATAGTAATGCCAATATCTCGTTTAGAAACTAAAGCAAGCAACTTGTTTTTTGCCGTTTGAATGGACCTAATATAATTATTTTATGAACTAGTTGTTGTCCGAGTCTCCGTCCTCCAAGTAACATAAATTTAATTTTCGAATGTGATATATAGATGATTTTTTTTTACTTCGATTAATAGTATTGTTGGCACTCATATACGTTATTGGGAGCGTCCTAGGAATAAAAAATACATGTGTTAATAAAAATGTCTTAAAAAACTAATGCTTATCGTTTTACCTTTTTTCTGCTAATTCTCGCTTTTTTTCCCAATTTATTTTTAGTGAAATATTATGTCTCTTAATAGAACATAACTTATATAAATAATTTGGGATTTGAATATCAACCTCACACGATTGAGATATTGCAATTATTTTAGTAGGCCTAGTTACGCCCGTTAATAATTTTAAATGGAATGGAGTAGGGAATGGTGACCATTGAATTTCATAATAACCCGAATTGTTTATAGATTTATCAAAAATTTGTACATTTTCTACAATTTTAATTATTTTTTTATTCCCAAGGTCACTAAAAATTTTTAATTTATTTACTCAGTAGTATATAGTATACGCAAAGTATAGTGTTTACTTTATTAAATGTTGCATTGTAAGTTCCTGATTAGTCAATACGATTTTTGAATTACAAACACTCGATTTAATGAAATATTTCATATTATCCAGGTTTTTATATAGAATGAGTAAAGGTCCTTCGATAACAATGCGTTTTCGGAATCTTTCAGATAACTTGCTAATAAACATTTCATATCCAAACGTAGGAATGCATATAGTTATGTTTTCGTCATTTCTTGCAAAAAGAATTATGTTAATTAGTTTTATTTCAGAACAATTATTTTACCTAATTATATTTTCAATTTCATCAAGAGCATCATTTAATGACCTAGGATTACACGAATTCGTATTTCTTTTTATATTCAAATAAAGTTTGTTAACGCCATGTTCAATCCATTCAGAAAATTTCTCATTTAAGATAATAGTTCGAATATCTGTACAAATTCCGCCGTATAAATGGGTAACTTTTCTTTCTGAAATAAAAAATACTACGAGTAAATAATGTTAAGTCACTAAAATTTTTTCATTTGAACTATCCTATCTCGGCTAATCTTCGAAAATTTTCTACGTAATATACCTTTATAAAACAATACCATTAATTGATGACTGATATCATTCGACTCACAAATAAGCACCTTAAGAATAGACCCATCATTACACCGAAGTTTGTATGGCTGAAATGGTGTCAAGATAATGAAATGAGTTTCATAAATCTCCTGGAAAAAACAATGTTTATAAAAGAGCACGTGAATTGATCTGACACTTACTACAAAACCTTTGCAATTTAAATATGTAATAAATTGTTTTGCCAATATTTGCGTTGTATAAATTTTAGGGATAATTTTTGGCAACTTTAATTGCGTATTTAAATGTGTAAGAAACACTTTTTGGGTAGGCTATAAATATAAGTTATGAAGTTCATTAATAAGCTGAGAAAAAACGCTTACATTACATATTGTTGGGAAGTCATCAAAAAGAAACTCATCACCATATTCTTGATATTTCATTGTATAAATGTGTTTTCATAAAAACAATTTAAAAGCGCGTTCAAGAAAAAAAACGAACACCGCGGTGAAGATAGCAACGACGCTGGGAGGTCCAAACCGGAAATGGAACGCGAAACTTTTCTAAATTTATTAAATTTTCAAAATTAGCTAAATTTAAGCGTTTCCACCAAACAAAAAATTCTTCTTATACAGAAAATTCAATAAATCTTTCATTTGGCATATACCTCATAATTGTATGTTGCGTCATATCTGAGATATTTACAAAATAAGCCAAACAAATTTTTTTAAAAATCAACTTAAAAAATTATTAAAAAACTATAATAAGTATCTGTATCTGGGGATCGGCAAAATTCATTCTTTCGGGCTATGCCGAAAATACATGTTATTCAGAGTGTCACATTAGCAGGCCGATTCCACTAATCGTTATCGCTAAAAGGCCATCGCTAAAATTCTTTAAATGCATTTTAGCGACTTTTGCGATTCTGCTAACTCGTTACGCTTAATTTCTATTCGCTAATTTTATCAACTTTCAAAAACAGGTGATTTTTCCGGATAAATCGCGAAATCTCCAATTTCGTATTTTGCTAAATTTACAATCGCTAAATTTCGTTAAAAACGACTAAAATTGCTCCTAATTTGATTGTTTTTGGCGGTTAAGTTTTTACTGTCGCTAAAAGTAAAAATATTATTTTTTAAACAAATTGAGCTATTATTTTGTACATTATTTAGGTCGTGTGCGAGTTTGCCTAAGTTGCGGTCTAAATGAGGGAAATTCTAAGTTGTGCCGATAATGTAGTTATGTGTCGATACTTAGCATATTTTCGAGGTGGCTAAGTCGAGACTAAATCGCCAGGATTGCCATTTTAGTATTTTCATAAGATAATATTTTCATAATTGAATTCAAATAAATATAAGAATATAGAAAATGACAATAAAAAATAATTTTATTAAAACGTTTTGTTTTATTTGTATTAAAAAAAATTAATTATCGTTATTAGAAAACTTTTAACCAAAAACTTGATCACTTTGTGCATATATTTTTCATTATTTAATGAACATTTGCAATAAATTCTGCAAATATTTGTATTTTCTAAAATTTTAATTACTTTTGTTTAATATTGTAAACATTTCTTTGATAAAATTTTATTATAGTGGCTGATTCCAAAAAAATAATTGAATTTATTTTCATTGACTTGGCAATATTGTTTTGGTAATTTTTGACATTTGAATAATTTGTTTGTGTTCAACATTGATTGTAAGCAATTTGTATATTGAAAAGGTAAAACATCTTGATCCGCTTTGGCAGCCAAACCTAAAAAGTACACAAAAATGTGAACCTGTCTTTAGTTGGGTAGTTCATTTCACTGAACTACCGATAAATGATGTAGTACAAAAAGCTGAACATGAAAAAGATGTTTTTTACTTTGTCAAAGAAGCCAATCTTGGAAGTTTTGAAAATGAAGAACAGACTGCTTTACATTATGCTGTTAGTGGTGGTCACTTTGATTGTGTACGTTCTTACTATCATTTAATGCAAATAGCAAACTAATTGATAGAAATGATCAAACATGTTGGGATGTTACTGATAATAATGATATTCGTATGCTGTTGTCTTCATAACAAATATAATTTTTGACTTATCTTTTAATTCAGACCTTGTAATGATTGTAATACGGTTTTAGTACTTCATTAATAAATAAAATAAAACTTCATTTACTTTGTAACAAAAACTCTATATGATGGTGGCTTAAATAACTTCAAAATAAGGGTATCATTAGCACTGGTGGCATGTAAAATATAGTGCTGTTCACATTATTCGAAGTTTTTAAAAATTCGAAGTTCTTCGAATATTCGAATATTCGCATTTCAACGAAATCTTCGAAGTGGGAAAAAACTTCGAAGTTTTTGTGAATTTTTGTTCTCGAAGTCTTCGAAGTTTAAGTGTAGTGAAAAACTTCGAAGACTTCGTAAGCAAAAAGTGAAGTGAGAGCGCAAAATGCAAACAAACGTGCATCACACAAATTATTTGAGGGATGAAAGCATTTGCTTCGTTTGTACGGTTTTATTCTTATGATTATACATTTCCACAAAACTTCCACTATATCCATGCTGATGCACTTCATCCCTTGAGCTTAATACACTTGAACTAGTATTTAAAAAGGGAATGGAAGAGTCAGTTTCGCTCGATGATTCTAATAAAATCTGCAATTTTTATTTATTTACTATAAAATTAAATACAAGTTTTAAAGTAAATACTAAGTAAAAACATACATTTCATACTTCAGACATTTCAACAGATTTTATTTAATTTCCATTTTTTAGATTTTTTGTATTCAAAATTTTCTCACTTATTTTTTTAGCGCCAAAATTATTCACATAAATCAAAAAATTTTGTACACAAACCCAACTGGCTTATTTCATGCGTTGCCAATTATTTTCAAACGCGATCGGTATCGTTTCAGCAAAGATGATCCAGATCATTGAGCGGATCATGTTTGCTGAAACGCAGCTATTGACAACAGTAGCACTTGATTGGTCAGAACAGAGATTGACTTCATCAATCAATAGTGGCAGCACCAGACCCTTCAGTTTCTGTACTGCTAGCATCAGTAAAAAAATGGCTCTGAAGCACCACCGTTGGAATGTAGAAAAATATTGTACAAGCCTATGGTTAGGCATCGGAACCGAGACCGGTAAGGTTCCTGATTATGGCATACCGGAAAATAAGGTTGAAAACACAGTTTGTTATGGGCTGGGGTTGCGAATCTCTGTTACCTGAGTATGCGGAGTGAAATCTTGCAAAAATGGCTCTCAGAAGGATCCGTAGCCTCTTCCGTCCCACGAAAACTTGGCAAGTCTCACATAGCGCTCAATGCGCGTAGTCATCTTGTTGTTGACCTTGTAGGTTAGGTTGAGAGTACTCCCTATTAATTCCGAATTGAAGTCTGGCTCTGAACTCTGGATCCCATAAGGACCAGAGTCAACCCTCGTATGGCCTCCCTGTTTACATAGATAACCATAAGACTTACGGAAACTACATGCACGTGCGGAGATAGCGGCTGCGAGTTGGGGCCCATATAAAATGATAAATATATATAATACAGAACATAAAAACGAAGAAGAAACAAATAGCACAATAATGCACACAACACAAATAGAACCACCGAAGAGGAACTCCGGGAGTGAGAGGTCCCCTTCACAAACAGTAACACCGAGCAGTTGTACGACAAAAGGTGCACTAACAATGACAGAGTTGCAACCAAACAATGGAGAATCAGAAACCGCTCCCACTGAAAATGTCATCACAGCACGGCGAAACAAAAAATCGCAGCACAGACTGATATTACCAGCAGTGGCTACAGGCGAGTCCGTACTTACCATAAGTGAATTAATTGAACGCTTAGGAAAAGAAATAGATGGACTAATACAATATGTCGAACCACGCCGCAATGTTCACGGTGATATCAGGAAAATGTGCAGCATAATCAAACGCACCCACACGGAGCTTAGTATGGAACTAGATTCCGAAAGAAGAAAATCCAGACCAACCGATGGTCTAAAACAGTTACGCAAGCTACCAGCAACAGTGACTGAAACGATAGAAATATCACCAAAAAAAAAGAAAGAGAGTGGACTTAAGCCCTAAAGGCTCGGAGCAGGAACGCAATACGCCCACTGCCATGAAAACAAAAGCTGACACAGTTTCTCTGCAGATGCCGTCTGACAAATGGACAAAAGTCGAGAAAAAAGAAAAATCGTCGAAAATCAAAAATAAGATAAGATCTATAAGACCTAAAGCGGATGCAACTCTTATAGAAAAAAAGGTGGATGGTACGACATATGCGGACATACTAAAGAAAGTGAAAAACAGTGGAGAGCTCAAAGCTCTGAGCGAAAATGTCAGAACCATGCGGCCAACTCAAAATGGAGGGCTTCTCATAGAACTAAAGAGGAGCAAAGATGGAGGGTCAAGCGATTACCACTCTGCTATTGAAAAAGCCTTGGAATCTATTGCAACGGTCAACCTTAAAACACATACCGTTACAATTCAGTGCAGAGACCTAATAACAAACCTGAACACAGACGAAGAATTACTTAGCCGAAAATAATGTAGATGTAGTTCTAATATCGGAACCATACGGTAATATTGAGTCGCAGAACTGGCTGACAGATGCAGAGAGACAAGCGGGGATTTGGATAGTAGGTGGAAAAATTCCCCAAAGTAAGATGCTCATGCTAGACAAAGGGTATACATGGGCGAAGATGGAAGGCCTGTATCAGGTGAGCTGCTATGCTCCACCAAGATGGTCTCTAGAAGACTTTGAGCGTATGATGGTTGCAATGGTTCTAGAATTACGAGGGAAGCGTCCTATTCTCATTACTGGAGATTTTAACGCTTGGTCAACAACTTGGGGCAGTACATACACAAACCCAAGAGGAAGACTGATAGAGGAAACATTTTCCGCAATGGATCTGGTATTGCTGAATACTCCTGGAGTTTATACATTCGACTGCGTCAGAGGTAAATCAATAATTGACTTGGCCTTTGCTGATCGCGTCACAGCAAACAACATAAAATGGAAAGTAGAGGAATCCATTTATACTCACAGTGACCACAGGGCTATAATGTTGGAAGTACGCAGCACGGTAAACCAGCAAGTAGACAAAAGTGTGCGGCAGAAAAAATGGAAAACATCAGCCTTCAATTCAGAAGCTTTTTCTATAGTATGGAAGGATGCTCAAGTTTCCAAAACAACAGCAGAAGACATGGCGGAACAAATAGCTATACAAATGGAAACTGCGTGTGATATATCTATGCCAAGATGCAAATATAGTGGCAAACGACAACCAGTTTATTGGTGGTCTAGCGAGATAGCTGATATTCGCAGAGCCTGTATAAAAGCACGAAGAAAAGCGCAAAGAGCTAGACGACATATTTCTTTCAATGAGCTATATGCAGAGTATCGCATTCGAAAACATGATCTTAAAAAAGCAATTGAAAAGAGCAAAAATCGATGCTTTAAGCAAATGCGAGATAGTGCTGATGAAGATCCATGGGGTCTGGCTTACAAAACCGTCATGCAGAAAATAAAAGGACCGAGGTCCCCACAGCCCACATGCCCAATTCTATTGAAGGAAGTTGTTCTGGCACTTTTTCCTCCACAGGAGAAAATGACCGATCAGATGTTTCAGGTGAATTGGAATACCAACATACCACCAGTGACATCAGAAGAAGTGATGCAAACATTGGGTCGTATAAAAGATGGTAAGGCGTCGGGGCCGGATGGAGTCCCCAATGTATTATTCAAGGCTGCGGTACGAGCAAAACCACACATATTCGTGGATATATATAATACCTGTTTTACTGAAGGTATTTTTCCAACGCGATGGAAGTTGCAACGACTGGTACTGTTGCTTAAACCAGGAAAATACCTAACCAATCATCTGCATATAGGCCTCTATGTATGTTGGACACAATAGGGAAGGTTTTTGAACGAATAATAAGTGAACGTCTCCAGCAGTATCTGGATGTCCCAATGGCCTTTCTGATAAGCAGTACGGTTTCCGGCGGGCTAGATCAACGGTAGATGCGATTAGAACGGTAACAAATATTGCAAAGGAAGCTACCAGCGGAGGATATACTGCAATGAAATACTGTGCAGTCATCACACAGAAGATCAGTTCTTGGACCCACATTGTGGAACGCTATGTACGATGGAATCCTGAAAATAAGACTTCCTGATAAAGTGACAATAGTTGGATACGCTGATGACATCGCACTAGTGGTGGTTGACAAAAAGCTTGATCACTTAGAAGCAAAATGTAACGATGCAGCAGCAAGAGTACAACGATGGCTTAAAAATGCAGGACTGGAGTTGGCGGTGCAAAAAACAGAAGCAGTACTGATAACCGCAAGAAAGCAGAAAAAGAAGATGAAAATCATAATTGGCGGGCATGAAATATTATCACAAGAAGCAATAAAATACCTTGGAGTCATAATCGATGCAAGACTGAGCTTCAAACAGCACCTTACAGCAGTAAGCTCTAAGGCAGCGGAAGTGAATAGTGCATTAACGCGAATTCTTCCTAATACAGGTGGTCCTCAGGGCGAAAGAAGGCGTCTTTTATCTACTGTAACGGACTCTATTATATTTTATGCTGCTCCTATATGGGCAGCAGCAAAAAAGCATCAGCTACGTCTGGTAGCACAAATATACAGACGCAGTGCGTTACGGGTTGCCTGCGATTATAGAACAGTCTCTGATGATGCAATCTGCGTCATTGCTGGAAAAATACCAGTTGACATACATGCAAAAGAGTTAAGCCGTCTTTATGGCAGGCAAGGCATAACACCTACGATAGATCAAAAATCGGCCGAACGCGCATATTCATTTAGAGAATGGCAGCAAAGATGGGAGCAGTCCTCTAAGGGACGTTGGACATATACACTTATACCTAACATTAAGGAATGGGTGTTAAGAAACCATGGTGAAATTGACTATAATCTGACTCAAATATTGAGCGGCCACGGAGGCTTTTTAGAATATCTCTACAGATTTCATCTGTCAGATAGTCCATACTGCCCAAACTGCCACAACGTCGTAGAAAGTGCAGAACATGTAGCCTTTAGCTGCGAACGGTTTAATGAAGAACGGAAAATACTTGTGGAAGCCCTAGGATATCTACCATCTCCTAACAGCATTGTGCACGAAATGTGCTCAAGTAGCTTTAAATGGAAGGCAGTTAAAACATTCGCAACTCAAATTATGCGGCGTTTGCGACTGCAGGAAGAGGAAAGAAGAACAGCTGCAGTGCATGTATCACTGCAACGATAATGGATGTAATGAAATGACGACAAAAACTGACGTTTGAGCTTCGTGCTCTGGACGGCCTCTTGACGAAATACCAAATCGGTGATCCCGAGAGGGCTAACCGTCGGACATCGGGGTGACTTTAGTGAGTTAAAGTCTCGCACTGACTAGGCTTTCGATGCTTTACACCTCGTTAAAAAAAAAAAAAAAAA